GTTTTTTATTTTCATTTATATTTATATTTATTTATATTTATTTATATTTATTTATATCTATTTATATCTATTTATATCTATTTATATTTATTTATTTTTACATATAAGCGTTCCAGATATAAGCAGTACCATATATGCAGTTCCAATATGAGCAGTTCCATATATAAGCAGTTCCGTATATAAGCCGTTCCATATAAAAGCAGTTCCATATAAAAGCAGTTCCATATATAGCAGTTCCATATATAGCAGTTCCATGTATAGCAGTTCCATATATAGCAGTTCCATATATAGCAGTTCCATATATGAGCAGTTCTGTATGAAGCAGTTCCAGGTACGGTATAACAGTTCCAGATATAAGCAGTTCCAGATATAGCAGTTCCGTGAGGGATTAACCTGAGAGCTCGCAGTCCAAAGAGAGGGATTTAAACAGAGCTCGTAGTCCAGAGAGGGATTTAAAGAGAGCCTGCAGTCCAATGTGAGGGATTAAACTGAGATCTTGCAGTCCAATGTGAGGGATAACGGAGCTTGCAGTCAGAGTGAAGGATTTAAACGGAGCTTGGTTAAAGAGAGCCTGCAGACCAATGCGAGGGCTTTAAACTGAAGCTTGCCCACCAATGCACGGGGCCAACTGAGCCTGCAGTACAAAGCGCGGGGCCAACTGAGCCTGCAGTACAATGCGAGGGGAAAAACAGTCCGCAGATCTCATACTTACCCACAACGCCAGAAGACAAGGGACAACACAACGGGACCACGCCGTACCGGCACGAGGAGGCAGGGATGCGCACGGCTCCCACCGCACCGGTCCAGACCGGCCGTATGCAGCAGCAGGCCGCGACCAGACGAGCAGCGGCGAACCCGCAGAAAGAGCCCGCAAAGGAGGAGAGCGGCAAAGACCCACGGACCACAGCACGAGACCCGCAGCAGGTGCAGCGACGCGGAGGAGGAGCAGACCACACGCAGCAAGACAGAGGACAGCAGGGACCGCAGGAGTAAGCGTGAGTAGACAAAAGCGATTCCTCCAGAACGATTCTTGCAAGGCTTCGAGAAGGCCGAAAGTGGGAGTTTCTCCGCTTTTAAGCGGCTGCCTGGCCGGTACAGTGATTGGAAGGGGGCGTTTGCTGTGCGATAGCTGGGGATGTGAACCGGCCTGGAGGGGGTGACTTTGGCTGACGTCTACCAAATTGAATTTCCGCGGGCTGCATTATTGTGATAGGAAAATAGCTAATGGGAGATAAAGTCCAGATTCAATGGGTATCAAACCACAATTTGCTGTTTTCATCTTTTGTGTACTTGTAAGAAAGAGCCCTCTGAGTCAATATGTGACTCTTTGGGCTGAGAGCTGATTGGCTGAGTGAGGGTGGTCCTCTCTTTTTCCACTTTTTTCACTGAAAAATTTGAGCAAAAGATATGACAGAGGCCAGAAATACACATGTGGAAGCGAGTGGTCTCTCACTTCTCAAATTCGTTCAAGAGCGAGGAACAAATTCCATGGATTCCATGGCATTGTCAAAAAGTGTTAAAATGAAAATAAATCATTATCACTTTACCACAATTCAATTCAATTTATAGTATAGCCCTAAATCAAACAGCATTTATCTCTGAGAACTTGACAAAACCGTTGATTTTGCCAACACAGATCAGAGAATCAAACAGTTCAAAAGCATGAAGTGCAAGGTTTATTATTATTTTTTTTTATTGTTTATTTGGTTGGGACAGTACATGTTCATGAACACATCACTCCAGATTGTAGCCATGGGCTAATTTGCATCCGTTGTCCCACATTCGCACTCACAAACACACACTCATTCACCCTGAACTATTACATATTTTTAGTGGTAGGGGAAACCGGAGTACCCGGAGTACCCGGAGGAAACCGGAGTACCCGGAGTACCCGGAGGAAACCTACGCAGACACGGGGAGAACATGCAAACTCCACTCAGAAAGGCCCTGTTCCGATTGGGATTCGAACCTTCTTGCTGAGAGGCGAGAGTGCTATCCAATGAGCCACTGTGCCGCCACATGTGTATTGGTCCATGAGGGGCAGATGACCAATGTGCATAAGTGTTATTAAAGGTCCATAAATGCTGTTCACCACCACCACAAAATGAACAACTCTCCCTGTAAATCGGCACCACACAATTACCAATACATTCACATTGGTTTGATGCAGAACTGTCCTCATGTTATAAGATAAACTTTATTGACCTTAAATTTAAAGGTCACAATTGGCATAAATAGGTTGCGAAAAAGACAGGAAATGTACAAACAGGTATAAAAGTAAACGATATATTATATTCAATTACATTAAAATTGACTATAGCAGTGCGAGTTTACGCTTCTTTACAGTCAATACAATGAAACGAGGCTTATCATTTTGAGTGGCTCACACCATGTTTCTCTATAATTTCATTTTCAATTTCACGTGCATATTTTACCGTGAAAGACACCAACACTCCTTCCACCTCTGTTACAGAACATTTCACCAGTCGACCTACAAATTAATTTAACATGTATTGGATCACCTTCTCATGACACCGGCAGCCATTTTTTATCTCCTCCCTTCCACGTCGCATGTAACTGTATTCCACGACATGCTCTTGACTTTTTTGACTTGATAATTAATTACTGTGACCAAAAATTAATTAGGGTCTGTAGCCCAATGAGCGCGGGTGTGCATCGGAAAAATTTAATCCTTGGAAAGTGCAGGATTAGTATGCGGGCGGAGTGCTACTGTTTCGTCGCTAGCCCTAGGTCTAATTGACAGAAGATTAAGGCAAATGTATTTATCAAAAGCGTAAAATAAAAAGGTGTGGATTGACATGGCCCGCTTTTACAAATTTATGGTTATAAAACTGGACATCGTTATTTTTTACAAATGGCAAACTGATTCCGGTGTGTGTTTCAAAGCAGAGAACAGAAAAGGAAATATTTTATACAAGGACCAAAGTGAGGCTTGTAGTCTATTTAACAAACTGGCAGACCAATCCCAATCAGAGAGAATAGATTTTACTCTGCCTTCCGACAGAATACACACTGGCATTTCAAATTGATTTTGTCCTGGTCCATGGTCCATATTTAATCTCAACAAGCTAAAAGTTTTTGGCTTCCATCTAAAAGCTATTATCAGTCTGAAGGCAATGCTAAGGACCTAGAATTGGAGAATCGTACCAGTGTGTTTTCATGAAGAGCTACTGCTGAAAATACACTGGAAGAAGCTCACAGTATTCCCCAGTCCCACTGTACATGTTTTTGGTCAAAGGGGTAAAAAGAGCACCTGGAGGAAACGTGAGAAGGCACAGGGAGAACATGCAAACTCCACTCACAAAGTCTAGTTTAGTTTGAATGTAGCTGTGATTTAGCAAAGGTTTAAGTAGATACAACATACAACATTATATCTAACATGTTTTATTTATTATTCTGGTCAATTGGACGTTTATAAAGAGTATATTTAACTTTGTATTGATCAATAAATTAAATCAATCTTCAGAATCAGAATCAGAATCAATTTATTTGCCATTTGCAGAAAAAAATCACATTGGAATACAAACAGGAGACACCGGGGGCACCAACACAACAAAGCACACACAAAAACAGAATAAAAATAGCGAGACACAGTGAGGCACATATAAAACTCTTAAAAGCATTATTAAGACGCTACGATGGAGCTCCAAGAGAAGCAGATCTCAGGACGCTCTGTTCAGTCTTATAACCGCCTGAGGGAAGAAGCTATTCGCATGGCGGGTGGTCCTGCACCGCACGGACCGGAATCTTCTCCCCGAGGGAAGAGGCTGGAACAAGGCCGCTCCAGGATGACCAGAGGAGTCATTTACGATCCTCAAGGCATGGTTTAAGAGTCTGCTCTCATACAGAGCCTCCAGAACGGGCATCTCATAGTTCACAGTCCTCCGAGCAGAACGAACCACTTTGTTCAGAGCTCTCTTTTCTTTGACAGTGATGCTGCCGAATATGGAGGACCAAAAATGACTAAAGTATAAATAAATAAATAAATAAATAAATACAGGAGTATATTAATAAATACATTCATTTTGGACAATAAAAACTAAATATTTACATTGATATGCTAAATATTACTCTGAAATCAAATAAATATACTTTTATTTAGGTTATTTATCAAAATCTACATTTTTTCCTTTATTTATTTATCCATTTATTGCATATATTTATTTATGTATTTCTACATTTCTTCATTTATTTATTTATGTATTTTTGTGTCGCTGCATTTCTTCATTTATTTATTTATGTATTTCTACATGTCTTCATTTATTTATTTATGTATTTCTGTGTCGCTACATTTCTTCATTTATTTATTTATGTATTTCTACATTTCTTCATTTATTTATTTATGTATTTCTGTGTCGCTACATTTCTTCATTTATTTATTTATGTATTTTTGTGTTCCTGTATGCTAATTAGGTGGGCGGTGCTGAACTCAATCTAGAACAGGATTGGTTAGGATTGCGTGAACTCTGGTCTCGATCATTACTGCCTCACATTACGGTACTCTGTTAGCTAGCTAGAGATCCTCTGTGCACTTTTGTGTGGTATGATGGCAGTTTCGAATGTAAGTTTTTTAGGAGCCATTGCTCATCAATTAAGAGCATTAGCAAATGATGTTAATGATGTTGAGCATAATCAGAATCAGAATCAGAATCAGAATCATTTTTATTGCCAACGTAAGTAACGGGAGGTCACAGACTTGGAAATTGCTTTGGCTCAGTGCAACAGTCGAAAAGAGATAATAAAAATAAGAATAAAAAACACTTCTAAAGAATAAATTTAAATTTAAAATAGAGTTACAGTTACTATTTACAATATACAAGTGCACATGGTGCACACAATGTAAGGTGACAGCAGTACAGTGAAGTAAAGTGACGTATGATGGGCAGTAAAGTGACTTTATAAAGGGCGGGGGGACAGGTTAAGAAGTGTTCAAGAGTCCAACAGCAGAGGGGAAGAAACTGTTCTTGTGGCGGGAGGTTCTAGTCCTGATGGACCGCAGCCTCCTGCCTGAGGGGAGTGGTTGGAATAGTCCATGTGCAGGGTGAGAGGGGTCGGCTGTGATACGACCAGCCCGGCCTCGAGCTCGGGCGACGTACAGGTCCTGCAGCGATGGAAGGCTGCGGCCGATCACTTCCTCTGCAGAGCGCACAATGCGCTGTAGTCTCTGTTTGTCCCTGACTGTGGCTCCAGCGAACCACACGGTGATGGAGGAGGTGAGGATGGACTCGATGATGGCCGTGTAGAACTGCACCAACATCTGTGCAGGCAGCTTGGCTTTCCTGAGCTGCCGCAGGAAGTACATCCTCTGCTGGGCCTTCTTGATGAGGGAGCTGATGGTCGGCTCCCACTTGAGGTCCTGGGTGATGGTGGTGCCCAGGAAACGGAAGGACTCCACAGAGGTGATGGGGGAGTCCATCACGGAGGGTGGGGGCGGGGGGACAGTGCTCTTCCTGAAGTCCACAATCATCTCCACTGTCTTCTGGGCGTTCAGCTCCAGGTTGTTACCACTGCACCAGGACACCAGCCGGTCCACCTCCCTCCTGTAGGCGGACTCATCGTTGTTGGAGATGAGTCCAATGAGGGTGGTGTCGTCCGCGAACTTGATCAGCTTCACGGAGTCGTGGCTGGAGGTGCAGTGGTTGGTGTACAGGGAGAAGAGCAGGGGAGAAAGAACACAGCCCTGTGGGGCTCCTGTATTTATAATCCGAGAGTCCGAGACATTCTTCCCCAGACGCACTCGCTGCTTCCTGTCCGTCAGGAAGTCAGTGATCCACCTGCAGGTGGAATCGGGCACGTTGAGCTGGGAGAGCTTGTCCTGGAGCAGGGATGGCAGGATTGTGTTGAAGGCAGAGCTGAAGTCCACGAACAGGACCCTGGCGTAGGTCCCCGGGGAGTCCAGGTGCTGTAGGATGTGGTGGAGGGCCAGGTTAATGGCGTCGTCTACAGATCTGTTGGCTCTGTAGGCGAACTGCAGGGGGTCCAGGAGGGGGGAGGTGAGGGACTTGAGATGGGAGAGAACCAGGCGTTCAAATGACTTCATGACGACAGACGTAAGTGCTACAGGTCTGTAGTCATTGAGTCCTGTGATCCTGGGCTTCTTCGGGACGGGGACAATGATGGAGGATTTGAAGCAGGCCGGGACATGGCAGGACTGCAGAGAGGAGTTGAAAATGTCCGTGAACACAGGAGTAAGCTCACTGGCGCAGTGTCTCAGAGTGGCCGGAGACACGTGGTCCGGGCCAGGAGCTGCACCTGAGGACTATCTACTCTTTCGGCTGGAAAGACTATTAGATGTTTTAGTTCATCACAGTGCTGACCCAGAGGTAGACTTTGATGCAACTGTGCTGGACGCTCTTCAACAAGCTATACAGCAGCTTCACATCCTCTCACAAACCGAGAAGGCTAAAGCCAAGCGTACATCGGACTGGCAACTGATTATATCCGCGCATATGAGTTGCTGCCCCGCACACATCGACAATCTGACGAAAACGGGCAACTCCCAGTAGCAGACCAGTCTCGGGAATAACAGTGCGTACATCGACAGCAACTGGCCTCAACTACAGTGTGTTTTCTGACATAAACTGTTGCGGGCTCGCAATACACGCAATACACACACGTTGTCGGAGCGGCGCATCGGGTCATATCTACGAAACTGAGGACAACTAGTTCCCGAAAAGTAGAACACGGGCAACTGACTGAAACTGGAGACCGACTGATCATCTCCAGTTGTAAGAGCGCGCACATTGACCGATTTCAACTGATCATCTCCATCATCTCCTCTCAGTTGCCAAAAGCCGCCTTGCAACTTGTCTCCAGTTTCTCTGTCGATGTACGCTAGGCTTAACTTTGCTTCTGTCTGGTTGCCCCGTTAATATAATACATCCATGGGTTTCCCTGGCTGACCTACTGCCCACCAATCCTGTTCTAGATTGAGTTCAGCACCGCCCGCCTAATTAGCATACGGCAACACAGAAATACATAAATAAATAAATGAAGAAATGTAGAAATACATAAATAAATAAATGAAGAAATGTAGAAATACATAAATAAATAAATGAAGAAATGTAGAAATACATAAATAAATAAATGAAGAAATGTAGAAATACATAAATAAATAAATGAAGAAATGTAGAAATACATAAATAAATAAATGAAGAAATGTAGCGACACAGAAATACATAAATAAATAAATGAAGAAATGTAGAAATACATAAATAAATAAATGAAGAAATGTAGAAATACATAAATAAATATATGCAATAAATGGATAAATAAATAAAGGAAAAAATGTAGATTTTGATAAATAACCTAAATAAAAGTATATTTATTTGATTTCATAGTGATATTTAACACATCAATGTAAATATTTAGTTTTTATTGTCCAAAATGAATGTATTTATTAATATATTCCTGTATTTATTTATTTATTTATTTATTTATACTTTAGTCATTTTTGGTCCTCCATAGCCGAACCACACGGTGATCGCACCAGCAAGTAGGCTTTCTATGGTGCAGCGGTAAAAGTAATTAGAGTTATTTGTACATTCTCTAAGTTTCCGCAGAAAGTATAGACGTTGGCGAGCTTTCTTAACCCTTGTATTATGTTAAAAAAAAATGACATTGATTATGTTGCGGGTCATTTTGACCCGCACTGTGTAAATGCACTCAAAACAGGCCAACAAAACAGCTTAAACCAATAACAATTTTATTTTAGGTTATATAAACATTTAGAAAAGTGACACAAAATACATTTTTAATTCCAACACTATATTTTAACTTTAACTTCAACTTTAACTTCATCCGAACTTCAACATTTTCAATGTTCTCCACATGATGGACAGAATGTTACTGTGTGCTTTCTGCAGAAGTATTTCTTGCATTTCACACAAGAGGTACTTGTTTTACTGTCCTCTCGGGATGGACATACCTGGCATCTTTTCCTTTTCTTTCCACCTGTGTCCACTGGATGTTGGTTGGGTGAGGTTGGGTTGGGTGACCTGATTTTGACCTTTTCAATGACAGCTGCAGCTGCTGGGGATCGAGCTGGCTTGGCTCGCATCTGGATCTTTGGAGTGACAAGTGCTTTGCCGAGTTCTTCCAGGAAAAGCCGACGTCTGTACAATTTGCCGGCATTCCATTTCTGGTTGATTGCAGTCCACAGGACATAGGCATTGTAAGCAGACACGTCCACAATGTTGTAGAATATCACCAAAGGCCAACGGGCTGTCTTGCGCTGGCAGCTGTATGTTGCTGTGACTTTGTCCAGATTGTCAACTCCTCCTTTGGTGGAGTTATAATCCAGGATCATTTGTGGCTTCATGTCTTCTCTTGTGCTCAGAGATGCATCCGTGTGCATTGTACTCATTACAAGAACATTCTTGTTTCTCTTTGGGCAGTATGAAACAACTGTTGCTTTCTCAGTGAAAGCAAATATTGAGGAATGCAGAGGTCTGCCCTGCATCTTCAGAATTTCGGTTGGAAGTTCTGGCTTATTTCTTCTGACTGTTCCCAACATGGTCAGCTTTCTCTTCTGAAGTTCATCTCCAAGGCGGTAGGATGTAAAGAAATTGTCACATGTGATGTTATGACCTTGCAGCCCTTCACTCATTTCCAGCACCACACGCATCCCCTGATTCTTCTCAGATGTTCCTCCAGGTAGCTTTCCAGTGTATACTTGCATATTCCATGCATAGCTGGATTTTGCATCACAGGCTGCCCATATTTTGATGCCATACTTGGCGGGCTTGTTGGGCATGTACTGTCGGAAAGGACAGCGCCCCCTGAATGGAACAAGGCGCTCATCTACAGTAACATGGGGACCAGGATTGTACAACAAAGATACATTTTCAACCCATTTATCCCACACATCTCTGATCGCAGCTAGTTTGTCTCTTTCACGTCGACCAGCTCTGGTATCGCGGTTGTCAAAGCGGATCACACGAGATATCATGTGGAATGTCTCCAGAGACATTGTTGCACGAAAGATTGGCCTTCCATTCTCTTCATTCCATAGACTTGCAGTGGCTTCTCCCTTTGACCTGTACACTCCAGCTAATAACAGAACTCCAATGTAAGCATGCAAGTCAATCTGATCCAGTGGCTTCCATTTCTCTTGAAACACACGTCTCCCCTCCAAGTTGGTCATTTCCAGTATAATCCTCTCTATTGGTGGGGATATAAAGAGCTGAAATGCTGATTGAATCTCATCAACTCGTGTGACAGCAAATCTTGTAGGACCGGGAGTCATTTTGATAACATTGGAAGATGATAATCTGCCTTGGCACGGGTGTGGTGATGTTGACCATTTTATATTACCGTCCTTAGATGCCCATGTCCCCTCTGTAGATGATGATTGCTGTATTCCTTGGGGTTCATCTGTTGGAGGAACAACGGCAGACTCGTCCTCTGAATCCTCCTCATCGAATGAAAATTGACAATCTGGATCAGCAATTAAATTGTCCTCTGTCTCTGAAAAATCCTCTGTTTCTGAAATCTCTTCCTCTACATCACTATCCCAGTTAAAAATCTGTGATAAAGCCTCCTCAGATGTCATCCTTCTGGAGCTCATTTTTGGTGAGTTTGTCAAAGAGATGACATGAGAACAGTGACGAGGACAAGTGTGAGAAAGTTCCCTCTCTTCACACACCTGGCTCTCGGTCTCAGAGGCAATCAAAATATAAACAATTGTACATCAAAGTAAAAAGTACATCAAAGAGACATGTTTCTCTCATGATCTGAACAGCTATTTACTAACATTAAAGCGTCAGGGTCAAAATGACCCCAACATCATCTTTGTATACAAACTCTGCACAGACATTCCACTACACATCAAAGTGTCCAGATTTTACACACCAGTTCATGACCCTAGATGAGGAAAAGTCACCAAATTTCAGCAAGAAAAAGAAAGGATAACCAGTAGTTTGATCAACACAAAAACTGAAATGGGTCAAATTGACCCTTAACATAATACAAGGGTTAACAAAATGGTTGGTGTTTTTGTCCCATCTCAAATCGTTGGACAAAGTTAGACCAAGAAATCCTCAACAATCTCCACCTGAGAGTTTTCAATGACCACAGGTGAGTGGGGGAGAGAGTGACCACGGCTGAAGTCGAACACCAGTTCACATGTTTTGGACGTGTTCAAGAGGAGGTTGTTGTCTTTACTCCAGTTGACAACATTCTCAACCTCTGCTCTACTATGGCAGTGAGTGCCCCTTTCTTTCATTATCTTTCATTATGAACTAAAATGCAACATAAAAACATTAACACCCACTGAATATTGATTGTAAATTAGAAGCATTGCTAACCACAATGTAAGGATTTTCTTACAAGCATGGCACAACTTTACTGCTGTGTCACCAGCTGCAATGTTACTAGTCCTTTTACAATGTAAGAAGGAGCTAGTACAGATATTTGGTTCTAAAAGTGAAAAGTAGAAGTAAATAGTTCAAAAATCATGTTGGTATTGACAGCGGGATTCAAGATTCACAATACATTTATCATGTCCCGAAGGAAATTTGTCTTGGACTCACAGCCTGCCACATTGAATACACAAAAGGCAGACAAAAGACACAAGACAGTAACACAGACATAAAAACCATGACCGCTCTGCTCCACACAGATATGGGTAGGAACAGTTCTTCTACCGGTTTATGTGTCTTTTCTTATTTGTAGTGTGTTCTCTGTAGCAGTGGACCGATGGGAGGAGCTCCTATTGCGAGTAAAGGACATGAGAGAGGTCTGAGGTGATTTTCTTTGTCTGTCTAATAAGTCTCCTCAAATATCTGCTGCGAAGATGGATGCTTCCTAACTCCCAAAACCTTAAGTGTTGTGCGCATCAATCTATAAAGTTATTCTTATGTTTTAACAATGAAATTCACAATCCACACACATATTTTATCATGTTTTCACTCTCAATTACAGCATGATAAAATAAGGTCATTATTCTCTGTTGTGTGAGTACAGTGCTGGCTCTATGACGCACACTATCAAAACATTTTATGGCTCAAAATAAAGTATTCATATTAAGAAATATATTGAGAAATGGAATCTCAATAAATAAGTGTTTCCCCCTCCAATGAAGGCATCAGAATTGTCAATTTTTATAGCTCATACATTTACAGACAAGACAATATCAAAATAAAACCCTGTGATCACAGAGAACAGTAAACATCAGGATTTTTCAGCCAAAAATAGTGAGTGTGACACAAACAGTTTCTGAGCCAGAGGAGTTTACTTTTCATTATGAGTCAATTGGTGCCAGAGCGAATTTGAGCAAAACAAATCCATGAGCACTTCCCTATAGGCCTTAATAGGTGGTTAGCGGTGCATGTCCATCTTTATCAAGCCCCGGCGATCCAAGATGGCGCCGTATTCAAATGAATGGTTTGTGCTCAGAGGCGCATGTGCAAGTACGGGCGCCGACATATTAGCGAAACTATTGGGGCATCGTCTGGTCCTCTCGGTTCTGTGCAGTGGATGAGCTTCCATGATGCGTTGCGCCAAATACGTGTGTGTGGCTCTCATGCACGTGCACAGAGGGGCGTGGCTGCGCTCCGACCAATCAGAGCTGCTGATCAGAGCTGCAGCAGAGCGGAGTCAGAGCGGGTGCCAAACGGACAGAGTTTGTGGCACTGATGTGTGGATTTGAAGAAAACCGAAGGATTTAAGAAGAAAAAAAGTTCAGGATGACAAGGGACACAAAAATCCCCACAAAAAACAACTTTAATGAAGCTGTAGGTTCTCTGTCAGCTGAGGTCAAGCTGTTTTAGTTTACATTAAGTTCTATGGGGAAATTTTCTTGGTAGCCCACGTGAATTTAGTCTCGTTTAGTCTGCAGGGGGCGACAGTAGCTCAGTTGGTAGAGCATTGGCCTTTAGGCCTGAAGGTCATGGGTTCGTTTCCCCACCTCGACACCTTCTCCACCGACTCCCACTGATGTCTGCTGTTGTTGTGTCCTTGGGCAAGACACTTAACCCCACTTTGCCTGAAGCCCCCGCTGAAAGATCTCAGCTCCTGTGGACTCACCACCTGCAGGAGGATCAGTGAGGGGCTGGTGCTAAGTGTAATGGGTGCAGCTCTGACTGCCACCCCCCCGACCCAGAAATGGATTAAGGGGAAGAAGATGGATGGATGGATAGTCTGCAGTTCCGCAAGAATCCCGCGAGCTCCAAGCTGTAATACCCTATCCAGTTATTATAATGGATCCATGATCTATAAAGAGTCTGTAGCATCTTGGCATCCTGGGGTTCCACATGTCACCAAGCATCCTCTCCTCCATCCCACTGTAATAAACAGGTTTGAGATTCCTTCATGGAGTCAGTAGCTCACCAGTATCTTGCCAGTATCCCATAATATTGCGCAGGCCCCCGTCTCAGCGTCAGCCTTGTTCAGGATGACCTCCCTGCAGAAAAGTGAAATGTTCAAGGCTCCAAGCTACATTTTTATTAACCTGCGAAGACCAGATCGAAAATGTGTCGAACGCTTGGGGGAGAGTTCAGCTCAGGAGCAAGGCTAACATGTTATAACCTTGAATGAATTGAAATGTGGTATTGTTGATTGATTTTTGCCTTTTGATAATTGTGTGTAATTGTTATAAAAAACACAAGCAAACATGAATCATGAAAAAGTTGTTGTAGTAACCATGATGCCGATTTCACAACTTCTGAAAATGAAAGTCAACTGTTGATTTGTATTTCCTGGAATGAAAATGTGCATCCACATCATTTCAAAACAGAAACAGTCACCGTGTTTTATGTAACAATTGTTAAGAATAACAACACCTGAAGAGTTTAATGTTAAGATTAACTCTATACTAAAATAAAATAAAATAAAATCTGTAACTTTAGCTTAGAAAGAAGCAAGTATAAAATCTCTACTTATAGCATAGTAAAAAAAGCAAAACATTTGTATAAAATTTCTACTTATAGCATTATAAAATAGCAAGAATTTAGTTTCAAATCTCTTGAAACGAAGAAGACCGAAGAGACGTCTTCCCGCCACACTGACTCCTCTGGGACTGAGCTTATTTACATGTATTTAATGTATTCTAGTACATTTGCTTGTACAAGAATACATAGTACTTTATACTTGCTTCTTATTTTCCCAAATTCAGAGATTTTTAATATCTAGATAGATATTTTATACTTATTACTTATTGTGTGCTGTGTGATCTTCATTACCAACTGTTTTATAACTTGTGATGCAACACTGAAATGTCCCCGCTTTGGGGCGAATAATAGATCTCAATCTTCATCTTTAAATCCCTCCTGCATACATTATGCAGTATTCCTGCCGGGGTCTAATCGCCAAGCTTATCAAACATTCTTGTTCAAATGCAATAAATGTGTTAGTGCC